GAAAACACAGGATAGTGTAGCCTATATGAGAAGGCTTCAGCTGATAGATGGGATTGAAAGAGATGCCAGAAGCACGCTAAATCAAAAAGTGTGATTAATAAGAGTATGAAAGTTAAGAATAAAAATTTTTAAAAGACTTCCTTCATCTGTGATGCAAAGGGCTAATTAATTAGAATTCTAAGAAACAGAATGCTTTAGCAAAACAGTTGGCCCTTAAATTCAGGAAAGGCAATCTGTGAAGGATTCTAGGAATGCTAACATAAACCCGATCCAGAAGACAGCCCGTAATTTGTGATAAATCTCCGATATGCTTGAATTTCAATAATTCACAAACATCGATCCAAATAACAAACCCTCTTAGAATCCCCTAAACAAGCCCCATTAGAGGAAATCAACGCGAGCTGCAGGCCAGAAGAAAAACTACTCGTCCAGCTCGGGAAACAACGTCCTGGACAAGTACGAAGCCCCAGGGAATCTTACCGAAATTCTGCATATGAATACAATGTACCGTTCGTCTCTGAGCTGCCGAAGCTCGAAATCGGACCGAAGCGAGCATTCGATTTCCCTCTCCGCCATAACATGGCTGTAGCGCTGTTCCAGCTTATTCATCGGTGGCGCGATTACAGGTGGCCTCACCAGGGCAACTGCGGCAAATATGTCACACGTTGACTGACAAGCACTCGGCATCGACGACGATGACGACGACGACAAATAACGCCGAAACAGCGCACAAAGCACCCGGCTACTCATTGCAGCAGTGATGCCTAAAAACAGCAATTTTTGTTACAATTTTTTACCGCTTTCATTTACTTTCTTGTGGGTATCACTCAGTAATATATGACGTCAAACAGGCTGCCGGCAAAGCAAGCAACATGCCCTGCTCATCGGGTTTTACTTTCTCGCATGGTCGCAATCATATCCTGAACACCGCTCATCCCACGGAAAGTCTGGTTGTTTATACGGTAATGAAGATACAAGGCTACTAAATATGAGTAAAAGAAAATTAAAAAATGCCTTCAGCAACCCCACGAGCAAAAACAAATAAATTAACAACGATAACTGCTTGGCCTAATGTCTCAAATATTTGCACGAATAGAAATTACTGAAACTCGGCTCGGCTCGACCTGCGTCGTACACGATCTGCGGATCTCGGCTGTTAAGCT